AAAAAAAAAAAAGACAAGAAGAACGAAAAAAAGAAAAGAAACCTTCACCAATATTCATTCAGTAGTTAACAGCATTTCTTTTTTCTTGAGACGCTACCCTATTATCCCCACCCTACTAAACAGGAAAGATTATACTTTGAGTTTTACCCTACTTTCCAGCCCTAACCTTACACTAGATTTTGGAGCAACTTGGATTTAGTGATTCTGGTCTTTCATAAGAGGAGAAAACATGTTTTTTGTCTTTTTCTGATGCAAAGTGGTGCCCTCCACGTAAGTGTGATACAAGACCAAGAATCGCAAATCATATTTATGAGGTTTCCCTGACCTGAAACCATGTGGGGGCATAGCGGGGGATATGACCATTATTATTTTGAGGGAAATACTTTACACTTTATATATATGCTGCGTACTCCTTACATACTTGAAGTTATGGACATTGCTCTCTTACTGCTTTTTTTGGCAAGGAGTAAAGAATGAGCAACACTTTGAGAGGGGCCCGAGTGGTGTGGCTCTTTGGGAATAGCAGTGGTCTAGGGATCAGAGACTCTTCCATCCATAGTTCTTCCATTTGCTAAGTTAGATCCTGAGTCAAGAAAGTTAACCTTTAGGAACCTCATGCTCTTCATCTATACAATTCTTGACCTGCCTATTTCATAAGATTATTGTGTGAATCAGATTAGAGACTATGTGTCAAACCTTTGACATTCATAAAATTTGATGGAGATGTAAGATACTGGGTTTGTGCAAACTCAGATGTCCAAACGTTCGTTTAAAAGGTGGAACAAGATCTTAAAGGCAAGTCGTGTTTCCATCGCTACATTTGCCAGAATTGCGATCCACCCGCTGGTCTGTTTGTGAATTTTCATACAGTTCTAGAAAGTTAAAAAAATGTCTTTACATCATCACAGAGTATTAGAGTTTATTGTTTAAATAGATGTCTTTCTCCTACTCTCACCTTCACAGGATTCTGAAGGTCATACACCTCTGAAAAGGTGTTAGAAAGTTTACTTTGGAACCTTTCAGGTGTGGATCCATTTGCCAACAGTCTCTGGGAAGTCCCTTTGGTACACAGCAGAAGCTCTCAGATTGCATTTCTTTGTCCTTGGAGAAAATAGAGCTCCTATGATCTACAATGCCTGAAGATGTTATTTAGAATCAGTATTTATTTCAGAGCTCTGAAACTTAAAAAAAAAAAAAAAAAAAGACTTTGTCCCAGCTGGTTTATAGAGGGAATATTATGCAGTGATCCCTAAAAAAAAATTTCACAGTCTGTAAGTCATTCATTAAAACTTTCGGGATAAATGGGTATATCGTCTAGCTGTTACAGCTCTTTAAAACATTCATGTCAAACCACAGAAAGTTGTGCATGAACTTCTGGGAGACTTTCAGTCATGAACCACACACGTGATGAAAGCTCTTTGAAACCTGTAAAACGGGACATAGACACTCATGGCACCGTTAACTTCTTTTACCACTGTGACGGCCAGGGGAAAACTTCCCTCGGTTTCATGTCGAGGACAGTGATGTTCTGAACATTATGCTTTTGATGACCTCATGTTTCTTCCCTTGATTTCTAAGCTTTTATTATTTGAGTACATTGAAGTATATTATTCTCATTGTTCTCAGAAATGGGCTCCTTGTTTTCAAACATTCGTTGAATAAATACTTGCCGAACACCTATGTGCCAGGCAGTTCTAGGTGCAATAAGTAGGTCAGTCACCAAAGCCCACATGCCCACCACCTTCAGGATGTCTGAAGTCTAGAGAGAGGGACACATGTTTGACAAAGAGCAATACAAATCTTATTAGTGACTGGTGCTGTATACAACAAAGGGAAAATAAAGTGTTCAAGGAGAGTTCATAACTCAGGAGGCATAATACTGCTGAGTGGTTGGAGAACTCCTTCCTCAGGAAGTGGTATTTAATGTAAGATGAAGGTCAAGCGAGCCTCAGCATGGGGATCGTGATATATAGCTTCTCTGTCTTTGCGACTTCTACATGAAACGGAAGCATCTTTTTACTGGCTGTGTCAATGTCAAGAGTTTCAGACAGTTTGAGAAATGAGGCCAGAGAAAGCCTACTGCTTTATATAGAAAGTTTAAAGTATGTAGAGTAGTGGTGTAACATACGTAAGGCTGGCCAGTGATTGATTCATCCACAGCTAGGGGTGCCTACTATGAGCCAGGAACTGTGAGTAGTCATTCGAGTCATGGCAGCAGTTGATTTAAGAATAATTTTGTTACCGCTCTTCTGCTTCTCCGGCCATTTGACTAGTCGAGCAGGGGTCATCCCTCCCAAAGAGAAACGGTGAATTGGTTTTGAACAAACGCTGGTAATACTGTGCATCTCTGTACTGTGTATTTCAGTGCTTATGTGATTGTTTTAACTTAAACCTGTAGTCCCATCTTGGGGATTCGGATTCTAAAGGGTGGGAACCAGTTTAGTTCAAGAAATCTTCAGGTCCATTTTTCAGGTGTGTGTCTTTTCAAATAAGATGCTCGAGTCCAGCCACTGTCGTGGGGGTGGTCCTTGCAACTCTGTAACCTTAATTCTTCTGGAGAAAAAGGATGGGCATCACGAAGCTGAATGATAAACATCCTAACAGGCTCAGATGAGTTACTCACATTATTAGCAGTCACAGATTAAAATACACATCCACTGTTCTTTTCAATGAGCAATCCAGTCCTAGAAGCTCAGCGGACATGCACGTTACACTTTGGTGTTTATGTTTTTGTCATGATGCTTCATTGTGTAATGTTACTTGAACAGACTTTCACTCTTTGTCTGATTTTACCTGTATGTTGTTCTTTTAGTGTGCTGCTTCCACATGTTTTAAACTAATATGGTGAGAGTCAAAAGGGTAGAAAGACACCTCATGTAAGCTGTTGAAACTAACACAATCTTAGATATAATAAAAGAACAAGGTGGGTCAAAGGTATAGCTTACCTCAGCCTTGTTATTATGCAACTACATGATTTAGAATGTTTTTTGACATATCACTTCCCTATGCCTTCTCACCCTTCACCTTTCATGAGTTTGTAAGCTTTGCCTTTTGTAAATCTTATTTTCAAGTTACCTTAACATCCACTACTTTGACGTGAGATCTTACGAGGTATCTTACAACTTGAGAGTTGCCGTTTCAGTTTAACCAGATTTGGGGAGCATTCCCCACTTGCAAAGTGAATGTTTCATAGCACCT